ATTTACAGATAGATAAAGAGGGGATTGAGGGGGAGGGCTAGAGGCCAGGAGTTCCAGAGGTTAGGGGTCTAATGACCAAAGGCACGGCCACTGATGATGGCACACAGGATCATGGGACATGCAACATGGCTGTGTCTGCAGAGTGAAGGGGGCAGGAAGTTGAGTGGGATATGAGCAGATCAGAGAGGTAGGGAGTTGCTAGGGCATGAAAGGAATTTTAAGGGAGGGCGAGGTTATTCAAATCGATCCTTTCAGAGATGGTAACAAGTGGATCCTAGCAAGGATTGGGATACAGGATCTGGTCCAAGTGAGAATTTGGGATGTGAAGATTTGGACCTTGTGAATGGTGGAACGGGAGAGACCATTAATGAGTCTATTAGAGAAATCAAGGGTTTTGGGGTGAGATAGAGCAGGAGGCGTGCGATGTAGTGGAGGTGGAGAAAAGCAGCAGTGAGAAAAGTACAGCTGAAAGTTGAATCGGATGCCAAGGTTGTGATTAGGTTTGGTGACTTCGAAAGATATATCTGGGAGATTGAGGAGGTCAGAGCTGGAAGTGAGGAAACATGAATGGGAGCCAAGGAGGATGGCTTCCATCTTGTCCATATTAAGCTGCAGAAAGTTGGCTCAAAGTGGGGCTTGAACCCACAAACTTCTAACTCAGAAAGGAATATGCTTCTCACCTACCCAGGCTGACCCCCTAATAAATATGTGAATACCTTATGTAATTATCAAATTTCTAAAACACTAATGAGACTAAGGGGATATTTTCATTATTCATTGCTGAATCAAATTCTGATATGTTTTCAAGTTGCGTCCAAATCTTGGGGTCAGTCTGATAAAAAAAACACTCACTGTAAAGATGTAACCTATGTGCGGAAATCTCTTGAGGATCTGTAATAACACACACAAACTAAGTGAATTGAACAGGTGTCTGCAAAAGCTGCCAGTGATTCTGGAACTCCAATTAAACCAGATGGAGGAAGAATGTATTTCTGGATCTTGAATGATTGCTCTGGAACTTCAGATGAAGCATAAATTTTAAAGAGATCCTTTAAACAGAGTCTAAACCTACATCTTCATCATGTACAGGGTGACCAAAAAGTCATGATATCTACTCTATCATCTAAAAAAATCATAATTTATTTAATACCCATTAGACATTGTAATGGTATCATAACTTTTTGGTCACCCTGTATATATGTGTTTACGTGTAAGATTTTGTCTTGCTAAACATGTTCTATTCCTTAACAATCCTTAGGGCGAATTAGGAACTATTACTCAATTGACAGAAACCGCTATTAAAATATGCATTAAAACAGAGTTTAACAACAGGTTTGGGGATGAACATCCTTCCCCCAACTTCTGGACAATGGTTTCTTCACTCTCATAGGCTTTATAAATGGCAAAGCATGGCCATGTTTTCTTCAGTTTAGCAAGGAAAGCAAAACCTTTTACTCTTTCCCAGCCACTAGGACAGTGTTTTCGATTTTAAAATGAAATGTGAGGGAATCCAGTATCAGCCCTCACTGTACAGTTGTAATGTATGTCACGGAACAGGATTATTATGAAAGAATTCACCATGATTAAAAGCAGTACTTGTGAAGGGCAAGTTTAAGATTGACTCCAGGAAATATTTACACAGAGGGTGATCCAACTGCTGGAAGGATCTTGTAAATTCAAAAGCACTTAAATGCAGAGTTGCTGGTAGCCATTAAGCAACTTCATTGGAAATCTGCATTTAAATTCTTTTGAGTCTACAAGATCACAAGCAAAAATGATTCTATTTGATTTTGTCCAGGATACTAACATTGGAGTTTTTGCCTTGATCACTTCTCCTTCCCTCCCTTATGTACTTGGGGGATGCACACTCTAGCTTTTCGGCAGATTTGGGGAAGACCTCTTAAGAATCGAAGTGCTCCAAGATGCTACCCCACATAAAAGTCACTAAATCTTTGCAGGTTATTGTCATTCCATTACAACATCAAACTGTTCCTTAAGTGAGAGCAGTGTCCAGGCTCAACTACAATTGTTTGTACCTGTAGCTGTACCTCCAGCTGTCGATTAAACTCTGTATAAATATTTTGTGGAATCCATCTTAAACTTGTTGTCCTGCTTTACTTTTGCTATGTTAAGGTGGCATCCAATGTTTTTAACTGCAAGGAAGCACGTTGGTTGCAGCACATATAATTCCACTGGCAAAACAAGCTAACCACTGATGAAAGCTACAAGTATTATTCTTGTAAATTTGTTGATGTATGAAAACGTTACATTTCATGTAATGTATGATTAAACTAATTTATTGTCTCAATAACCAAGAGTATTTTGCTGTTGTAGAGTCACAAATCATGTAAGCTTTTTTACGAGAATTTGTTTTGTATATTTGTATCAACTTAGTTATTGCTTGATGTTCTGAATGTTCCAGTAAATGGCACAAGATCCTGGCTCCACACTGTAACTACCCCAGGTTGCACTGAATGACTGTAAACATGTGGTACCCTGGTCCTCACAAGGCACTGCACTCAGAGCAGATTTGTGTCTATGCTGGAATTCAATTCTGCACCTGCGGTCGTAAACCATGCTGTCTATGAAAAACATCTGTTATTGTCCATCTATAGCTGTATTCCCAAGGACTTGGCTTTCAACAGATTATTGTGCTATTTGCTTACCACATTTATGCTTCAAGCTGCAAAATGCACATTTGCTGAAATTCTGCAGCGCATCAGCCACTGTCCAATTTAAACAATGTGGAGTTATTTACTCCGATCACATTTCAGAATTAAAACAAAATGCCAGCTCTTCCTTCCTATCAGGATTGTCTGAGGCTGTAAAGCACAGAATTTGCATCTTGTCAATGTAAATAGCTGACAGGAATCTCCTGTGGACTGAAGCCATAAAGAATGATTCAGTGCATGTGTTGGTCAGGTAATCTTATTCATTTTAGTACCTCCCAAGGACTGATTTGGATCAGTTTTCACTATAGACCCAAAGGGAGGATCATGTTCAGTCCAAGTCAATGTGATTTGAAATGAAAGTGGCCTTTGGGGTTTTGAAAGTCTAAACAAATATTTCATAAGATATATATTAATTAGGCCTTTCCACCTTAGTTGAACATTGTTGAACATCTAGTACAACACCACATATCCAGTTTATCTCACACGACCATACCAATAGATTAGTGCACTGAATAGTTTGGGGATTTCTGTCTGTCGATGTAATACTGTAATACTAATAATCCCTACATTTGATATAGAGCCTTTCACGTTGGGGGGATGTCTCAAAACATTCCACAGGATATACCGTAAAGCGTAGTGACTGAATACCCATGATAATACCTTTCATAATATCCAGTTATTTTGTGAGAATCATGACAAAGGAGTCTTGTGCATTGTAAATTGTTGGTATTTTGAGTTAGTCAGCCTTGTAGAGGTTATAACCTTGGGAGAGTGATAGTGCATAGGCAGGATGCAGTACCTGTGGCAGTCCACTATTCAGAAACATTCCAGATGTTCAACAGTTAAACCTATTTCGTTGGAAAGCAAATTAAGTACCAGAAGGAGCAGACAGAGTAATCCTAAATATTCTGTTAATGAGATTAGTAATTTCATCAGGTAGAATTTTGTTATAGCACATCTTTAAAATCCCAAATATCAATTTATGTCGAATCATTGAATCCTACCATGTTTCAAGATTGAGGAAGACCATTTGGCTCATCATTCCTGAGCTATTGTTAGCTCACTCACTGGTGCTGTCTACTCTAATGCCATTCCCCTGATCTTTCTCCAAACATTTTATTTTTGTTCCTCAAGTACTTAGTCATCCAATTCCCTTTTGAATGTTATGAATTTGGCTTTCAACGGCTATTTATGATAAAGAATTTTGATTTGTATCCATCCTCTGTAAAGAAATATTTCTTATGACAACTTTGTGAAAAATTATAAATATGGGCGAATATGTATCGGTTCAATGAGTATTTATATAAAGATGTGTGAAAAAGATTCCTTCACTTGTTCTAAAGTACTGTAGCTTGCTTGTAGCACTTCTTTTGTATTGGTGCTTTCTCACTTAGGATATGACAGTTCAGATTGCAATCACAGATGTATGTAACTTTGCTGATGACAGGAGTCAGTTACTAGGTCATTATTGGAGTGACAGTTTCGGTTGGTGTTTCCCTCACCACTAACAAGGTTTCCCTACTTAGCAAGTAGGGCTGAGTTCCAAATTTTTTTGGTCAGCTGGATGTCTGAACACATACGGACACCCACCCAAAAGAGTATCCAAATCAGATTTCCATGCATCCATACATGGAAATTCCAGAAATATTTTTGTAATGGAATGCACTCTCTCCCTGAAAGACACATCCTGCTTACCTAATTCCAGAGAGTATTAGGTGCAGTGCGACAAGAGCCAAGGCTTGGGGACCCCAGAGTGTATGTTGCGGTGATGTGGAGTCTAACCAACTAAAACTGCATAACTTGCCATTAATATCGCTGTCTGGCAAGCTTTCCCGCTTCTTGTGCAGATAGGACCACTCTCTCTGTGAGGACTTTGGCTTACAGGGTTCACAGGAGCTGAGTGGGAAGAATCCCTGCCCCCAGTGACTGGTCTGAGCTTCCAAATCCTGCTGAGGAGCCAGTCTGGCTGAGCTGTCATCAGCAGTGTCCTGGAATACTGCAGCCTAGACTGGCTCAGGACCTGGACTACCAAGACCACCCCAGAGGGTAGGCTCGATTCTGACATTCTGTGAGCTCCAATAATGCCTCATGTTCCACTGACAGCAATTAGTCCTGGGAGGATGTTAGGCTACATGGGTCAGTCCCATTTTGCACAGCGGAAATGTTTCATTGTAAAATCAGAAAAATAGAGGCTATAAATAACAATGTGCCACTTTACTTTCTTTATCAAATTTTATTTTAAAAAATCATCTTCGGCCCTAAATGATCAATTATATTAGCTATTCAGAAACAAGACTCCTTCCCCACACATGCACATTCAGAGCTTACCTGTCATTGGCTATTCTGTCCAACAGTGGTTCAAGCCATCCCTTGTGGCATTCACAGTGTGAGTCCATAAACACAAGGACATCTCCTGTCGCTCGTGCTGCACCAAGCATGCGACCTCTAATCACTCCCAGTCTCTTATTGCTTCGAATCAACTTGACACCTTCCAGCCTGGAAATGTACTCACTCAGAGCTGCTTTCAGATGCCCTGCAAGAGGAAGTTGGGATTTGTATAGCAGTGGGTTTAAAACTGCTGCCAACTGGCTCAATGGCTACAACAGGAGACTTTGGTCAAAACACTTTGGATCTGGACTGCTGTGAATGAGTCATCTACCTTTGGTCAAAACACTTTGAATAAAGGTAGATGACTCATTCACAGCAGTCCAGATGTCTAACTGGGACATTTCCTGGAGCAACTACCTACATTGTATCACATATCACTTTTTTTTGAACAATCACCTTCTTTTCACAACCATGTACACAACCATTTCATGAGCTTTTCACTGCCCAATATATTGAAGTAGCATTCCAGAGGGAGGCAGGGAGGTTAACACTGATCTGCTCTCACTGCATCTTAGCAGTTGTCTGAGGAGCTGTCCTGGAATAAGACCAATAGCTGGCCACCTGCTCTCTGCACTGGAGAATGAGTGTTAGAATAATCTTTAAATTATATATAGAACCTACAATGTCAGCGCTTCCCAGGTAAGGGCAAATGCAGCAACCAATTTCGACACAGCAATGTCCCACAAAAAGCCAAGAAGCGAGTGGAGAAATGTTGGCCGGCACAACGGACATAGGATCTTTAATATCCCCCTGAATGGGCAGAGAGGATCTTGGTTTAACTAAGCATTGAACTTCCAACTATGCAGCACTGCCAGTATGACAGTATTGAACCTATAATCTTCAAAATGCAGCCTAAAAAACTGCAACAGGAGATAAAATGGGGCAAACTGAGTGGTACCTGTACAAACTGATATTTGGTCCTCTAACCCCATTCTTTCTACTACAATGCAAAACCCGCCCTATGTTGGATATCACTGCACATGCAGTGTCTTGGGGGAACTTATTGCACAGAAATCATTGTGTCACTTGCATTTGTTCATTGCTGTCTGGCATCCATCCCTACATGCTCCAGTGTTGTACTTAAATGAATACGTATACAGTTCTTTACTGAAGGAGGTGATGGTTGCAGCATTATCTGCTTTTGGTGGGAATCTGTTCCACATATCCAATTCTACAATGTGCATTTGTGAAATACAGCATATTTCCAATATATTAATTAAAAATCAGATGGTAACTGATTGATGTCCAACAGAAATGATCATAGTAATACAGTGTGGATGAAGGCACTGTTCCAAAAATGCGTTTGTATCCAATATCCATGTACACAATCTGTAGTACAAGTGCAATATTTCATTGTGTTAACACTAGTACATCGATTGGGCAAACAATTCATTTAGTGTTATTCCTTCCTTCTAAATCCCCCTCACACGCACATACTATAAAGTAAAACTCACATAAGTTGTGTCAGCCGGGACCATAACATTTAATATGACTTACACGAAGTCTGAGTTGCCGCCAAACTCTATAAATTGTATAAAATTTAATTAATAATCTACACTGTGATGCGTAATTCAATGCAACCAGTGAGTGTGCATGAGGTAGTTTGTCACTGCAGCTGGTAAGTGCGCATGCAGTGACGGGTCAACATTTCCTGCTGTTCAATGAGTCACCGAATGTGCACTTACTGGCAAACCCATTGAATCGCAGGAAATGAAGTTCTTCCGTGCATGCGTTAACGGATCAATACTATGCTTCATTGCAACTGTCCGGTAAATATTAATACGAGTAGTACAAAAAAATCGAAGTGGTTTTGATAGGAAACCGAATGGGACTCAGATGAATGTACGACTTAGGCAATTATACCATTGATAAAGACAAGACTTATGTGCGCTTTACTGTATCTATGTTCTGTTATTTATCATTTTCCAAACCAAAAGACATACCTTGGTTACTCAAGTCATCCACTAAGATGATTTCTTTAAGAAATTTCTTGGGGGCGGTGTCCATAACACTGTTCACTGTCCTCAGAAGAGTGGACCAGGCTTCATTGTGGAAACAAATTATGACACTGGCTGTTGGCAAATCCTGTCTGTATTCCTGCTGCAGACATCTATGCACAAAGTAATGAGAGATATAGCTCTGCTCAATTATGACAGACTGACTCAACATAACAGTTGAGTGGCTGAGCACTCACATTGCAACCACATGCTATCAGAGTTTCAAATTATCCTTTTGTTCAACCTGTTGTGCATGTTTTTTAGAAGAATTAAAAACTGGACAGTGGGAAATATATGATAAGCCTGTCTTTACTCCCCTCTTTCTTCCTTTCTCTGTTTAATAATAATAATCCTTGCATTTGATATAGGGCGTTATCACGTCTTTAAGACGATTCAAAGCGCATCACAGAATATAGTGTAAAGTAAATTGGCTATGAATTGTGAGCAAAATGCAGAAGCCAATTTGCACACAGCAGTATCCCACAAACAGATGTCGATTGAAATGAAAGTCATTAAATGAAAAATAATCTTTAACATTTATTTTTATTTTTCCTGTTATTATTCTTATGTGTTTTCTTCTTCAATAACTTCCCACAGTTATTTCTCTCCTGACTCTGTCTTTACAATCCATGGGTTTTGGCTGTGCTCTCTAATTTAGATACATGCCACTTTACTGATGTCACAACAGCTGTTACTGCTCCCACTGCAGCATCAGTACTACGTTATGCAGTTATTCAATGCTACTTTACTTTTTAATAATTCTGGAGCTGACTGAATGATACATGTATAAATGCAAGATAAATGCAAGTTGTCGTTGTTGATACCAAAATCAATGACAACATTTTACTTTCTATTCCTTACGGACACAAGTTTGCAAGTCACTTCTTTACTTAACTTGTGAATTCTTTGAAATAATTACAGATAACGTGTTAAGCAGATAGGCAGGACTCCTGTCAGGCCTCTGGTAAAATGCATACGCTAGCTTCAACCTGCTTTAGTGTCATAACATTTCTGGTTACTGAAAGTGATGACAACGTGGACATTACGGCATTAGTGGAGTTCTACAGTTCAGTGGTTAGAGCACTCGCCTCACAAGCAAGAGAACCTGGGTTTGATTCCTGGCAGGGTGAAACATTAGGAAAGTTTCCTTACTCCACACGCCTCTGTTTACCTAGCAGTAAGTAGGAATGCAGTGGTTTGTCGATTGGCAGATTGCTTTTCCAGGGATAATAATTCCTTCAAAAATAAATAAGAATTATTTGATCACTCAATACAAGACTGTTTGTGGGACACTGCTGTGTGCAACTGGCTGTCTACAGTACATTCTGTGAAGCACTTTGAAACGTCTCGAAGACGTGATAAGGCTATACCAATTGCAAGGATTATTATTATTATTACACTCCATAGTGCCGTGAGCACTGAGTTAATAGATTTTGTGAAGCTGTAATCATACTACTAAGAACTATGTGGATCTGAGAGCATCAATGAAAGAATAGAAGAGCTTAGAGTTCGAACTCAACTACACAATCTTCAATTGCCTTTTCATCATTGTCATAGATAATTGATGTTTTATTTTCTAAATGTTGTATCTGTGTTAAGTAAGGATTTATCAGAATGAGGAATGTGCTGTGTTAACCCTTTAATATCAGACATTTGAACTCTTCGTTTTTTTCTAGCAATGGGTTACAATTTAGACATTGCCAGAAATGCGGACAGTGTTTAAACAAATCTTTAAAATGCTGAACTCTGAATAAAAAAAGATGTGAATGGTTGAAATAAAAATGTAAAAATAAAAGTGCTATAAAAGAGCAGATAAATAGTTCAAACTAAAACATTAGTGTGGAGTCCTTTAGCCAGCAGTAAGTAGGAACTCAGTTGTTAGTCACTTTTATGGGGGTAATAATACCTTTAAAAAATAATAAATTGGTCACTTCAATCCACGAATGTTTGTGGGACACTTCTGTGTGTAATTGGCTGTCATGTTTTGCCCACAAAATACACAGTCATTTCAATTTACAGCATATTCTGTGAAGCGTTTTGAGACGTCTCGAAGATGTGATAAAGCACGACAACAAATGCAAGGATTATTCTTATTATTAATTTCTTCTTCAGACTCTGAAGCATTTCCAATGGATTTTGTTTTTATTTAATTCCAGCCTTTGTTGTATACTCTACCAACTCCAATTTGCCCAGTGTTGTGTGTTTTAAAACATAACCCTTATCATGGACAATTCTGTGTTGCCAATGTGATCTGATCCCTAAATTGTACATTGCTTAATTGCTTAATCTCAATTAATTGCACTTCCAAAGCTTGTGCTGCCTGCATTAATTAAATTGTACTCATTACTGACGCATGACACATTACTGTGGATTGCTGAGTGGATCAACTTAATTTTGCCACAGGAAAACAGAACTTAACAGCGTTATGACCCTCTACCAAATTTTAAAAAAGCCACTCCGATAATAAGACTCTCTAAACCATGGATTTCAACCAAGATACGATTCTTATCAGAGTTCTATGTCATTCAGCCGTTAACTTATTCGTTCCTGGTTGGCAAGTTGCTTTATAATAAATCTAATTTTCGAATGCTATTAACCCTCTTAGCCTGGAATGCTCAAGGCTCAGTCGGCGCAATGCATCTGCTTGCCATTGGCCCTTTATTATCTGGATTACCCAAATCCCAGACACTCAAACTATTAACCATTTATAAACATGCCTTGTGCAGCCAGTGCACACGTTAAAGGAGCAGAACACAGACAGTGTTGGAGTGAAAACCACTGACATGTAAAACAATATCTATTCATTGTAAAATGAGACGACATGTAACTGGTGTGAATAGTCTTTCTGTTTATTGTAGAAATGATGCGGATATACCATCCCCAATGTAAATCAATATAAATTGCTCTCACTGTGTATGTAGCCTTCACACACACACACACGCGCGCACCTCCCCTTCCCAAAGTGGAAAACATATTTGGCCGCTCAGCACATCGTTGTCACAGCTGATCTACCTTCAGCCCTTCATTTCTCTCACACCCAAACAATCCACCGACCAACAAACCTGGATTTTTTTTGGCAATTGATATTAAAAACTCCCTGAGCTAGAATTGAAATAAATCAATGTGCCCCCAGCTCGCCAAAACCCCCACCTCTACAACTCAAGCAGAACAGAGCTCTTTACTGCACTTTCCGTTTCTTCATTTCATGTTCCGTATGAACATTCATTCCAATGTAATATTGATTTTGGTGGCGGGATCGACATTGTCGGCTTACGCGGCAGAACGTTACAACATTTTCCAATCCAATAAAGTGTTACTTTTCTCTCAGGTCTTTAAATTTCCGGTACAACTTGGAGCACAAGCGCTGGCGGAGCAGGAGCTGCCTGAACCGCGTGTCCTTCTTTTCCCCTCGCGGGCGGGATAAATAAAAGTGGTTCAGCGTCGAATTGCCTGGAGACAAGACAGCACGCGGGGGTCTACCCGCATAGTGCGTGTCTTTCTTTCGGGGGCGCGCGGGGGGGGGGGGGGTGTGTGGGATGTGGGGGGAAGAGAGGGATCCTCAGTGCACGGATGGCACTGTACGGTATATTCCGTGAAGCGCTTTGAGACGTCTCGAGGATGCAATAAGGCGCCGTATCAAATGCGAGTATTATTATTATTATACTGTAGTGGTGGTGGTGGGGGGTGGGTCGTGGGTGGGGGTGGGGGGTGGGTGGCAGAAGGTGCCCTCAGCGGTGAGGCTGTGGGACAGACGCCCCCCCCCCCACCCCCTGCGGGAGCGTCGGGCGATGAGGGAGAGAGGAGGAGAGGGAGGGAGGGAGAGAGGGGGAGAGGGAGGGGGAGAGAGGAAGAGAGGAGGGAGGGAGGGAGGGAGGGGGAGAGGGAGAGAGGGGAGGGAGGGGGAGAGAGGGAGGGAGGGAGGGAGGGAGGGGGAGAGAGGGAGGGAGGGGGAGAGAGGGAGGGAGAGAGGGAGGGAGCGGCTCCTGTACTTACAAAGCCTCGCGTACCTCAGGGAGCCTCCGGTGCAGAGGGATCCTCTCACTCACCGCCTCGCTGAAGCCGCCCCGCGCGCCGGGCAGCGGGGGGTCGCCGTCCTCCCCGGGCGCCGCCAGCGGCCGCGACCCCCTGCCCGCCCCCAGCAGCCGGTACCCCCCGGGCCGGGGCCGGGGCCGGGGCGGCGGAGGGGGGCTCGGGGTCTGGGCGGGGTCACGGCCATCAGCTCCTCGTCGCTGAGGAGGGGGTCGAGGCGCGGGCTGCGGCGGGGCAGGTGCCGGGGCCGGGGCGGGGGCGGGGGCGGCGGGGCGGGGGCTGCCCGCTCGGGCTCGGCGGGCCGGAGCCCCCCACCACCCCCACCCCGGGCGGGGTCCCCGGGCGGGAGGTGCCGGACGCTCACCGTCAGCGCCAGTCCCACGGCCACCACCAGCCACACCGGCACCGGCACCGCCGCGCCCCGCGACCACCTCATCCTCATCCTCATCCTCAGCCGCAGCCGCAGCTCAGCTCAGCCGCGCACTCTCTCCGGGAGCTCCTCACTCACTCACTCACTCAGTCCCGAGGGTCTCCCCCCCGACCCCCCACTGCTTTTGCTCCTCTCTCGTTTGTTTGTTGTCGTTGTTGTCGTTGTTGTTGTGATGGGGGGGTGGGGGTGACGGGGGCGGTTGTTGGGGGTTAATGGCAATAGCGGCTCCGGGTTTCCTTTCGGTCACTGGATGTCGGGGCTGCGCTGTGCGGTGCAGCGCGGGGGGTTGTTGTGGTGCGGTGGTGGAGGGCTGAGTGTTGCTGTGCGATGGAGGGTTTTCCTGTGGGATGGAGGTTGTTGCTGCGTGAGGGAGGGCTGGGTGTCAGGGTTGGGTGGGGGAGGGCTGGGTGTCAGGGTTGGGTGGGGGAGGGCTGGGTGTCAGGGTTGGGTGGGGGAGGGCTGGGTGTCAGGGTTGGGTGGGGGAGGGCTGGGTGTCAGGGTTGGGTGGGGGAGGGCTGGGTGATGGAGGGTTGGGTGGGGGAGGGCTGGGTGATGGAGGGTTGGGTGGGGGAGGGCTGGGTGTCAGGGTTGGGTGAGGGAGGGTTGGGTGAGGGAGGGCTGGGTGTCAGGGTTGGGTGAGGGTTGGGTGAGGGAGGGCTGAGTGTCAGGGTTGGGTGGGGAGGGCTGGGTGATGGAGGGTTGGGTGGGGGAGGGCTGGGTGTCAGGGTTGGGTGAGGGAGGGTTGGGTGAGGGAGGGCTGGGTGAGGGAGGGTTGGGTATCAGGGTTGGGTGAGGGAGGGTTGTGTGAGGGAGGGTTGGGTGAGGGAGGGTTGGGTGAGGGAGGGCTGGGTGAGGGAGGGCTGGGTGAGGGAGGGCTGGGTGAGGGAGGGCTGGGTGTCAGGGTTGGGTGAGGGAGGGCTGGGTGTCAGGGTTGGGTGAGGGAGGGCTGGGTGTCAGGGTTGGGTGAGGGAGGGTTGGGTGTCAGGGTTGGGTGAGGGAGGGTTGGGTGTCAGGGTTGGGTGAGGGAGGGTTGGGTGAGGGAGGGCTGGGTGAGGGAGGGTTGGGTGTTAGGGTTGGGTGAGGGAGGGTTGGGTGAGGGAGGGCTGGGTGAGGGAGGGTTGGGTGTTAGGGTTGGGTGAGGGAGGGTTGGGTGAGGGAGGGTTGGGTGTCAGGGTTGGGTGTCAGGGTTGGGTGAGGGAGGGTTGGGTGAGGGAGGGCTGGGTGTCAGGGTTGGGTGAGGGAGGGCTGGGTGTCAGGGTTGGGTGAGGGAGGGCTGGGTGTCAGGGTTGGGTGAGGGAGGGCTGGGTGTCAGGGTTGGGTGAGGGAGGGTTGGGTGTCAGGTGATGTAGGGTTGGGTGAGGGATGGCTGGGTGTCAGGGTTGGGTGATGTAGGGTTGGGTGATGGAGGGCTGGGTGTCAGGTTTGTGTGAGGGAGGGCTGGGTGTCAGGGTTGGGTGAGGGAGGGTTGGGTGAGGGAGGGCTGGGTGAGGGAGGGTTGGGTGAGGGAGGGTGAGGGAGGGCTGGGTGAGGGAGCTCTGGGTGTCAGGGTTGGGTGAGGGAGGGTTGGGTGAGGGAGGGTTGGGTGAGGGAGGGCTGGGTGAGGGAGGGCTGGGTGAGGGAGGGTTGGGTGAGGGAGCTCTGGGTGTCAGGGTTGGGTGAGGGAGGGTTGGGTGAGGGAGGGTTGGGTGAGGGAGGGCTGGGTGAGGGAGGGCTGGGTGAGGGAGGGTGAGGGAGGGTTGGGTGAGGGAGGGCTGGGTGAGGGAGGGTTGGGTGAGGGGGGTGAGGGAGGGTTGGGTGAGGGAGGGTTGAGTGAGGGAGCTCTGGGTGTCAGGGTTGGGTGAGGGAGGGTTGGGTGAGGGAGGGTGAGGGAGGGCTGGGTGAGGGAGGGTTGGGTGAGGGAGGGCTGGGTGAGGGAGCTCTGGGTGTCAGGGTTGGGTGAGGGAGGGCTGGGTGTCAGGGTTGGGTGAGGGAGGGTTGGGTGAGGGAGCTCTGGGTGTCAGGGTTGGGTGAGGGAGGGTTGGGTGAGGGAGCTCTGGGTGTCAGGGTTGGGTGAGGGAGGGTTGGGTGAGGGAGCTCTGGGTGTCCTCTCTGACACTCAGCCTCTCTCTCTGTCTCTGTGCCGCTGGAGCTCACACTCTGCTCACTGACACTGCCCCCCGGGTCCTGGCGCTCACACCCCCTCATCCACACAACAGACCTGTATTTTTCTGCAGCATCTTTTATGAACAGACAGAACCACAGTGATGTTTTGAAGTCCCGGGCAGGCAGTCACACTTCAGGCAACTTTTCCTTATTCCACACGCCTCTGTTTGCTCAGCAGGAAGTCGGAACCTGGTTGTTAGTCCATTGCTTTCGGAGAGTAGTAATCCCTTCACTCAATCCACCGCTGTTTGTGGGACACTGCTGTGCGCTATTGCTTGGCGCATTTCGCCCACAGAATATACAGTCAATTTGCTTTACAGTATGATAATAATAATCCTTGCATTCGATATAGCGCTTTTCACGTCGGGAGGACGTCCCAAAGCGCTTCACAGAACACACTTTAAAGTGAATTGACTGTATATTTGTGGGCAAATGCGGCAGCCAATTGCGCACAGCAATGTCCCACAAACAGTCGTAGATTGAAAATGACCAATTTATTATTGGTTTTGGTTTTGGAGGGATTATTATTATTCTGTGAAGTGCTTTCAGACGTCTCAAAAACATGAAAAGGCGCTATATCAAATTATTATTGTTATGGTTGCAATGCATATAATTCCAAATAAACTAACCTCTGATTAAAGCTAATTCCAAGTATTTGTCAGATGCAAGGATTATTATTGTTAAATCGAACATTGAAAGTGTGTTATTTTTAAAAGAAAGTGATTTATTATTTTTAAATGATTTTGCTGTTCATCTTGTTTTTACTGATCACAATGTCATCCCTCACGCTTCACACTTGCGTTTATGTTGAAAGCTTTGTACACAACATCAATAATAATCACCACATTTAATATAGAGCGTTTCACACTGGGAGGTTATCTCAGTGCTTCACAGGATTTATTGTAAAGTATAATTTGTATCTTATTGTATATTTTGTAAGCGATCACTTTCGTAAAATAATAATAAATTATTATAAATAATTATAATAATTGCACTCTACTGACTATATGTCCAGTCAGCTGTGCACAAAATAATATAAAATGACATTTGTTTCGTGTCTTTCATGTCAGAAGGCCGTCCCAAAGCGCTGGACAGTCTGTAAAATAAACATCGCAAAAACAGTAATCAAAGCAGAGAATTTTGAAAGCTTATGTTTAATTGAATCTATTTGTGAAAGATATTTTACAATATAAACTTTTTTCGCAATGGATTTGATATACAAAATCCCCAATGAATTTTGCTGCTCTTTAAAAAAATTTTATGGAAAGTCTAAATTTTAAATAATAATGATAATACTTACATTTGATTTGGTGCCCCATCACATCGTTCGGAATTCTCAGAGCACTTCACAGGATATACTGTAAAGTGGTGTGACTGTGTGTATAATTGCGGCAGCTTTTACTTAAAATGCTGTGGAGTCTTGTAGAGTATTGGTTAGAGCATTCACCTCGCAAGAGAGAGGAACCGGGTTCAATTCCCAGGCAGGGTGTAACCTTAGGCAAGTTTGCTTACTCTACACACCTCCATTTACCTAGTAGAAAGTAGGAACCTGATTGTGAGTTGATTGGCAGATCGCTTTCAGGGGCAATAATCCCTACAAATTAAAAAAAAAGTATAATTTGGTCACTTAATCCACAACTGTTTGTGGGACACTGCTGTGTGCAATTGGCTGCTGCGTTTCACCCTCAACTTATACAGTCAATTCACTTTACAGTATGTTCTGAGAAGTGCTTTGAGATGTCTCAATGACCAATTTTAATCATTTTTGTTACTGGTGTTGTTGACTGGCATTAAAATACCGTATTTAATGATAAATTTGGATCTCATCAAATTGTGTGCATTGTTAACAAAAACAGAAGTCGCTGGGAGATAGCAAAGAAGGTGAGCAGGGTAAAAGGAAAGAACGAAAGTCACGTCAAAGAGAAAAGAAAAACTTCTTCAAAGTAGGCATTCCTAGAAGAGAAGTGGCAGTGAGTTAAATATAAACAAAACATAAAATACTGCAGATACTGGAATTGAGTATTTTGTGTTTTGTTTATATTTAATTCACTGCCACTTCTAGAAATGCCTACCTTAAAGAAGTTTTGCTCTTTTCTTTGACGTAACTTTCGTTCTTCCCTTTTACCCCCAGCAACTTCTGTTTTTGTTTTCAGATTTCCAGCATCTGCAGTATTTTGTGTTTTGTGTAAATTGTTAAGTTGAGTGAATTCAAATGTCTAATGCAGTATTGCCTATTTCTTTATTTCCCAACAATGTTCTCCCCTTCTCTCTCCTGAAGGTGCTTCACTCTTACACTTCTTTTGGGGTAAGGTTCCATGTACATTGGTAGCCCTCAGTATATAATTTTTAAAATGCTTGGTTTGATATAGTGTTTTTCACATTGTTGAAGTGTCTTAAAGTGCTTCACGGGATTTTACTGTAAAATGTTGGAACTGTGCATTTGTAGGCAAATGAGGCAACCAGATGGTTCACAGCAATATTCCACAAACAGCCATGACGTGAATGACCATTTTTTCTGGAGGACAGTTGGACAGAACACAGGAGAAATTCCCTTCTCTTTTGAATAGTACCATAGGATCCTTAAAGTTCATGCTCAGTTTAACATCTCATCTGAAGGATAGGACCTCCAGCAATGTAGTGATCCTGGAATGTTAGTCTAGACTATGAGATCAAAGTCCCAACATGGGTCTTGAACCCACAACTTCTGACTCAGTGATGAGTGTGTTATCAAATGACATCCAAATGGGTATTATTCATTGAGAGCTCCTTCTAACATGTTTTCAAGTTACTTTCACCGGAGTTGAATTGCATGATTCAGCCAAGTTAGAGCACCAAATGGAGATTGGATTTTCACTGATTTCAGGATGAATCGCTTC